GACATATTTAAAGCCTTGAAGGAAAATAACTGTCAGCCAAGAGTTATATATCCTGCAAAACTGTCTCTCCAATATGATGGCGAAATTAGGGCATTTCCGGATAAACAGAAGTTCAGGGAATTTGCAAAAACCAAACCAAAATTACAGGAAATGCTAAAGGGAGTCTTAAACGGTTAGATAATCAATAACACCAGCTAACAATGCAAGACTAGAACACAGGATAGAGCAACCAGATATTGACTCAGATACGGAAATCGAAATGACATCAAAGCTAAAACATTGAAAATAGGGAAACCGATATCAATATGTAAAAAAAAAAAAAAAAGAGGATAATATTAAAACAAAAAAAGAGGGACTTAAAAAATGGAGACGTTGATTTTCTATATGGAGGGGAAGTTAAGGCGATATAAAGTAATAAAAGACTGGTATAAACTTAGAAAAACACGGCTAAATATTAAGGTAACCACAAAGGAATCTAACAATCCTACAAATCAAAATAAAAAAGTAGAAAAACGTAAAGACCCAGCAAACACAAAATCTACAACAAAGAAACAGATGAAAAAAAAAAAATACGTAAAGAACAACCACCAGAATTGGAGCATGGTTACAGGCAGAGAAAGACGTGAATCTCCTTTTTTTTTTTTTTTAATTTTAATGATGAAAGGAATAAAACTAAAACCAAACCCATTGCCGCTGAGTTGATTCCGACTCATAGAGACCCCATAGGACAGAGCAGAAGTGCCCCATAGTGCACAGCTGGTGGATTCAAACTGCCCACCTTTTGGTTAGCATCCTAATTTCACGTACAACATCATGAAATTCTGTATCCCTGTTTCTTTCTGCTAACCAAAAATTAGGATGCCAGTCAGTAACAAAGAACGTAGTATCAGTTGAGAGAGAAGTAAGGGAGGAGAAAGGAGATGGAGGGAGGATGGTTAATTGTTTCAGAGGTGAAGATGGACAACGTCCTTTAAAAGTGAACTTACCGCCTATTCTGCTTCTTCTATTTTAATATTTTTGAGGAAAGGGAATCTTATTTGGGGGGACGGGGGTCAGTAAGAGTATTATAAAGGCCAAGTGTATATATAGTGTCTCATAATGGGATAGAACTCTGAACATTTAGACCCCAGAGACTAGCATCTTTGCCTACTGACCTCAGAACCTCATCTCTCCACACCTGCTCTCTTGTGCTGTTCTTCACTTTACCTGTAGGCCTGAAAAGAAGCTCACACAGAAATCAGTTATAGTTCAAAATAATTTATTTCCTGTAGTTAAGAGTTTAAAGCAGATTATACTTTGAGTTGTAACTCTTCTTCCAAGGTGCAAAATAGAGATTTTTTTCTGAGAGTTGCTAAATAATCTGGTTACTCCAGGGAAATACTTGTACATACGCCCAATCTGTGCCTCTCCCCCAAGAACTAATTGCTGTACTGCAGTAGAATAATAATCAAATTTGTGTTTTATAGCAATGTGTAGATTTTAATATCGAGGTTAATTATGTAAATGCCTCTGATTTGAGAGCTCGTCTGCTAACCAAGAAGGTCGGCAGTTCGAATCCACGGGGTGCTCCATGGAAGCTCTACGGGGTAGTTCTACTCTGTCCGATAGGGTCACTATGAGTTGGAATCGACTGGAGGGAACGGTTTTTTATTTTTTAGTTTGGTGTGGGGCGTAAGTAAACCAGGCGCCCTTTGTTCCGACGATAGGCTTAGAGAGCCCTGGGGAACAGCGGCAGTGTTGGCTGACCGCGGTGTTGCTGTGCCTCTCCCGGCAGGCCTCCATCTGCCGCAGCAGCCAGCCCCTGTCCGGCTTCAGTGCCCGGTGCCTGGAGGATGAGCAGATGCTGCAGGCCATCCGGAAAGCCAATCCAGGAAGTGACTTCATTTACGTCGTGGACACTCGGCCTAAAGTAAGTCGCCGTTCTGATGTGCGCCTCTGGGGCCGGGAGTCACGAAGCTGCAGATGGCGCAACGCCTGACGCACTGCGTGGTGCTCGCAGGCTGCCCCGTCTGCAGGGGGCCGCTCCTCTGCCGAGTCACCGTCGGGGGCGCTGCCGAGCGCCTGGAGGGGCCGACCGTGTCAGCGGCTTTTTGTCTTTCCTCTGCTCCTCGCTTTGCGCAGGGCGTGGCGTGGCGCGCAATGAACAAGTGTGGCTTAGTCCTGGAGATTGCGCTCCTGAGTACACCAAACTATTTTGTGGTTTATTTCTAAGATGACCCTTTCTGCTCTGGCAACATGAAGTGTACTGTGGCCCTCCAGCAGTTCCAATGTTGTGACTATTCAGCTCTCCTATTTCGAATTCACCTTGTAGCGCTTTATAGCTATGACTTGGAATGATCTACAAGATGTAATGTTAAGTGAAAAACCGCCGTGAAACAGTATATATGCTACTGTATTTATGTTAAAAAAAACTATGCATTATTTAAAATGTAGAAAATATCTGAAGGGATAAACTCCAAGCTACTAAAATTCTATGGAGAAGCAAGTAGGATTTGGGGAGGTAGAGACTTTCTGCTTCTCTGTTGTATAAAAAATGCATTTTACAATGAACCATGTACTATTTTTAAATTAAAAAAAAAAAAAAAGGCAACCAACAGCAAATAATTAGATCTCGTCATCAGGGGTAAGCCCAGGTGGTTTTACCTTTACCTTCCCACTCAGCTCTACGTTTTTTAAGGAGAATCAGTATTCGGTTGGCTATGATTTCCAATTACTCTTTAGACCCATTTCTTTCTGAACAAATCAACAAATGGAGTCCCCAGAGGGATGTGCCAGTGAATACATGGAAGCAAAATCACCTGCAAGAGTAGGGAATAGAGATGACATAATGATTTGGCATTTATTCAATATGTTTGACATTGTGGCTTCTAGTCAATAACAAAAAATTTCCTAGACCTATAACTGATGAGAGAGAGAGAGGGATTTCTGTCTCTTCATGTAAGTATGGAATGGTGTCCAAGATATACTACTGAGCAGCAGGCATGAGGTACGAAAAATATGTATAGTGTAATCCCACTTATGTAATAATAATTATATTATTGTTGATCTATGCAATGAAAAGAAATTGTGGAGAGGGAGGAGGATTTTAAGAAACTTTTCTAAATTATTATTTGAAATTCTTAATCATAAAAAAGGTTAAAAGAACATAAGGACCTCAAAGTATTAAATATACAGTTACCACACACACACACAAAAATCCGTTGCCGTTGTGTGGATTCCAACTCACAGAAACCCTATAGGACAGAGTAGAACTGCCCCATAGAGTTTTCAAGGAGCGGCTGGTGGATTTGAACGCTGACCTTTTGGTTAGCAGCCAAGCTTTTAACCACTGTGCCACTAAAGCTCCAAGGTTACCATATGACCCTATAATTCCATTCCTAGGTATCTACCCAAGATAAACAAAAGCATCCGTGCAGAAACTTGTACAGAAATGTTCACAGCAGCATTCGTAATAGCCAAAAAGGGGAAAGAACCAAATGCCTGTCTACCACTGAGAATGGATGAGCAAAATTCACTGACTGAATATTCATTCAGTGGAATATTTGGCCATAAGTAGGAAGGAAGTCATGATACGTGCTACAGCATGGAAGAGCCTTGAAAACATTATGCTAAGTGAAACAAGCCGGTCACAAAGGATCCCATACTGTATGATTGCATTTAAATGAAACGTTCAGGATAGGCAAGTCTGTAGAGACAGAAAGCAGGATAGTGGTTACCGGGGAGAAAGGGAGGAAATAGAGGTGACTGCTGATGTATAGGGGGTCTCTTTTTGGGTGATAAAACAGTGCTAAAATTAGATTGTGGTGATGGTTACAAAACTTTGTCAATATACTAAACACCATTTAACTGTGTACTTTAAATGGGTGAATTGTATTGTATGTGATGTCTATGTCAATGAAGCTATTAAAAAAAAGAGCAAAAGGAAATAAAAAACATTAAAATGGAAGGAGGCAATAAGAGCAGCAACCCGAGTCACTTAAAAAATATACACTGATGTTAAGAACAGGTAATTATAGGTACAGTCTATACACATGGGCAATATGAGACGTAATGAGAACTGGATTCTGTCCTTTGGGGGGGTATGCACATCCTGGCAATTTTCACCCCTTTGAGCCTCGTGTTGTCAAATATTGGCATTCGTGCCCAAGATCACTTAATTTCACGCTTTCCTAGTGCCCTAGCATAAGGTAGGGTTAGGGTTAGTGCGTAGGGTTGCTATGAGTTGCGGTCGACTCAGCAGCACCTAACAACAACGGTCATAAGTGCCCTATCATACCCTAGACCTCAGAACAGTCCCGTCTACTTCTGACCCAAGTAGGGCTGTGAGTAGATACGTGTGTGTGGTGAAGGTAGAGTTACTCTTGATAGCAAATCAGGGGAATCAGTCATGGCGATCAGTGATGGAAGGGATGGTATAGCCAGATCCCATTCACATTCTAGTAAATTATAAGTAAAGCGTTCCCTTCTTTGAGATAAATTCTGGAAGTACAACACGAGATAAGAGCCTCATACTGGGGGAGACGGGAGAGTCTCTTGAAAGATGCCAGAAAATCCCTGACATTTGCTCTTCTCATTTGTGCTTTTCTCTCGGGTACCCTGTGCTTTGACATCTTCCTTCTAACATCGACTTCCTTCCCTACTCTTCTTGGTGTCTTTCGTGTATAAGCACACTGGGGCAGTTTTGAATTAGCCAGTAGTTAAATAGGTAACTTAATGCCTACTTCTTAGACAAAATATTGAAGACAAGATACCCAAACCCAAACCAAGCCTGTTGCCGTTGCGTTGATTCCGACTTGTAAGACAAGCTAGGAAAATTAGAAAAAAAAAGAGACTGGAGCTTTACTGAATAGAGCTTTGGGAAACTATCATATCCTGTTTCCCCAGGTTTAAATTAAGGCAAACAGATTCATCTATTATGTAATACCTTATTTTTACACAAATAACTTGAGCGTTCTACTATTGTGTGCCAACCACTCAGGGGGAGTAGGGCTCGGTTGGCAGACAAGCATAGAACGCACGCATTATCTTCGTAACAACACGGTAGTAACTATATTACTGTAATTCACCTATTATGTGGTGCATAGTCACATTCACGTAATAGGTCAATAATATTAACTTATTATTCACCTGTTGGAGCCCTGGTGGCACAGTGGTTAAGAGCTCCTTGGAAACCGTATGGGGCAGTTCTTCTCTGGCCTGTAAGGTCGCTATGAGTAGGAATCGACTCGACGGCAGTGGGTTTATTATTCACGTATTATGGGACAATGATGGAAAGCCATACTCTGTTTTGTAAACCTTGTAGGAAACCAGGCAGCCACAGAGCCAAGCATATTCCAGATTAAAATAAATTAATCCAGAGGATTTGATTTGAAGAGTGTATTTAGCACTAAGTGTGTTTACTCTGAGCGATAAGAAATTGGACGTGGATCCATTAAAGAAAATTGGTGTCTCATACAAGCCATGCCCTCTTCTCATATTTTCCCATGCACGCACACTTCACATGGGCTTTCAGCTGTTTGCTTAGAGCTTTTGTTCTTTAAAGGGCATGTCTGTTGACTTTTGTCCCAGAGCGTGTTAAGCTTCCTCTGTAGCTGGGAGACTGAGCCCATATTTTCCACAGGTGGTAGGCGATGGCAAATGTGGCGCGGCTCAGGTTTGCTCACAGCTTTAATTAGAAAGAGAAAGAACTGGGAAGCAACCTGCATCATTCTTGTCCCCAGACGAGTTTCAAGAGCTGCCTTTCAGATGAAAGCTTCTGAATTACACATTGATGTTAAATATTGGGGGACAAAGGCAGTGAGGTCCTCACGCAGGTATCGGATATCTACTCAAAGAAATTATACCTTTGGAGGCAATGTATTACTGTTAAGGTTTGGTGTATTAAGAAAATATGAAGAAGTGTAGATGTGATATTTGTTGAATTGTAAAAAGAGGGATAACTCGTATCTCAGTCTTGTTCGTGACTTTATCATTAACTTGTTTTGGGATTGTGCTGAGCTTATAAAAATGTTGGCCCCTTCCTCATTTAATTCTTACAATCTGCAGATTAGGAGATGTTCTTTTCTTTTTATGGATAGGACTTAGATTTAGAGAGGCTAAATCACCCACCTAAGGTCATACAGTGCAGGGTTAGCTGACTCCAAAGCCCATGCTCCTTCTGTTAAAAAGTCTCCTGTGGAGCCGTATCTCCACTTTGAAGCTCAGGAGGGTTGTTGCCTCTGAGTATCCCCAGTGAAGCTGAAGACTCGACCACAATCACATCCAAAATCATGCAAGAGCCAGAAGAGCGAGAAGGGCTATGCATTGTGCTTTGAGGGCTGACGCCTTTGGAGGAAGCTGTTGGACAGTGAAGAGAAAGGGTGAGGTAAGGCAGATGCCTGCCTCAGTTAACACTTGGCCTTCTGTCTATGCTCTTTCTACAAAGACGGCTTTGTGACTATGGTCACTAATTCCGCCAGCGTATAAGCGACATTTTAGTTGTGTAACGGGATGTCACATAGGTTTTTTTTTTTTCCTGTTTCTCTGGAATTGTGATTAAAAACCGAACTCGTTGCCATTGAGTCGATTCTTCTAATAAGGGTAGAACTGCCCCATAGGGTTTCCAAGGCTGTAATCTTTACAGAAACAGACTGCCACATCTTTCTCCCATGGAGCGGTTGGTGGGTTTGAACTGCTGACCTTTCAGTTAGCAGTGATTAAGTGCTTTCTACTCACTGAATTCTGTGGGAGGCTTGGAGGGGGTCTGAGAGAACCAGGTGTAAAGACTCGGGGTGTCTGAAAGTGGGGATCCGGGGTCTCATGTCCTAGTTGACATGTCTTTAGGTAGCTGATGGCCACCTTGGCGACTTGAGCAGAGAAAGGGACTCGGAGAGAGACAGCAGTGCTTTGTGGCAGTGGAATGGCTCTCTC